TCAATGGAAATGTATTATTTTGTGAAATTGACAGTCTGCCCTTCCAGTTCCTGTCCTGTAAAAAAGATCAGCAACATCCCTAAAAGATGCAGAATTATTATTACACCATTCCTGGCACAGAGCTTCTCCACATTTTTGGTTTTTTTTTTGTTTTATCTATAGGTGATATATATTAGTTTAAAACACCTGAAAAGGGCCAGAAAAGTGCCAGTTTTAACACAAAATCCACTGCATACACATTTACTGGTTTCTTTCTTGTCCACAGCTTGATTTCTGTCAGCTGTATTTTCCTGACAAGACCAGTCAATGATATTTTAAAATCTGTCCCATGCTCCGTGTCCGTACTGTGCTGTATCTCCCCTTGCTTTCGAGAATGTCACACCAAATCAAGGTAACCACTAAGCAGCAGGAGGAAACAAACATTAAAAACAACATGTGCCCACAGAAAAACCAAAAAGTGAGACTGATCAAGCTCCCTGCTCCTCAAAAGAGCAATAGAASAAGCTGAAATACGCACCAGACCCACAGAGAAGTCATCAGCTCAAAACCAACACCAGCCAGAAATAAAAGCCATGCCTGTGAATCACCCAGAAATGTCAGCCCAGGGATGGTGACTTAAGGGATAAGTTGAAGTTTGTATCTAGCAGTAGGTGTTCTTTTGGCTGCTTTTTTGTGTGTTCTTTGTCAGCAAGATCCAGCCTGATGCATTGCCTTAGCTGGCCCACACAGATGTTACTGCTCCAGGCGATTTTCTCTCTTCCATCCAAAGGCAGGATGCACCTAGAAGCAGGTCAATTTGCTCAGCTTCTACAGGGCAAACTGAAAAAAAAAAAAAAATAAAGAAAGAAAAAGACAAGCTGTCTTGAAAACTACATCTTCTAATCATCACTGCACCGTGATGCACTGTCTCCTCATGCATGGCTCAGATAAGTGATGACAGGTAATTTTTGATTCAGAAAGAAATAGACTTTGCAGTCTCATGGCCAGGAAAGGACATGGATGTTTTAGTTCCTGAAACATTGCAGAGGATCCTTCTCTGCTAACCTGTCTTAACATTCATCCCCTTTTGACTTCGTGATGGTGGTGATGAAGACTGTCTTATTTCAACAAAATTCAAAGATTTTCCCCATTTATAATTGTCTCCTTCCAGTTAAAAAAAGGTTAATGAGGTCATTATGTCTAAAGGTGGCTTAGGTTAAACTAGAAAATTTTTTTTCTGATAATCCACAGAAGCAGTGGAATTCTGGAGGACGAGTGTTGTTTTTTCTAATCACTGCATCTGGTCAGTGTGACTCTTTGATAGAGTCAATTCTTGTATCCACTATCCAGCAGAGCATTTCCATTGATYAACTTTGCCCCCAGTCCCTTCTGGCTTTGCTTCAGGGATATTTTGCTTCATAATTTGTAGATTTTAGTAGAGATGTTTCTGTAGATCAACGGGAGCAGAAGCCACTGAAATTGTGGGTGCTCATTGCTGGTGCTGCTTCCACCAGGAGGACAGGCTTCATTTTCACACATTTCAGGTGTTGGGTGGTTTTAGTAATCTCCAGAAAGATTTATTTTGCAGGAAAATTGCTCTTTTTGGCTGACAAAGCAGAAGATCTGACTGCCTTAAAGTTAGGGCTGAGGTGTTCAGCATGGAGGTTGATAAAAAGAGTTGCAAGAAACACTTCACTGGGTGAAGTGAGCCTAGAGGGGATAAGCTATGAAAAGGGTGACAGGAAATTTTAAGTGATTGTAAGGTCAACATGTATTAAAGCCATCAAAGAGGAAGAGCTGCTGCATAAAACAGAAAACTCAGCAAGTTGTGAACGCCTTTCAGTGCTGTGCACACTTTGTGTGATGTTCTGTGCAACACCTGTGTTTTATCTTAACACCTGCAGCTGCTTGTTACCTTATCAAAAACAGCCCTCGTCTGAGATGCTAGGCCTTTTATAAGGGGAGGGCAAAAAAATTTAAAAAAAAAAAAAATAATGAGTCTTTTCAAAGTCACACCAGGGCCTGTGAGGATTGCAATAATTTGATTTGCTCTCCTAGTGTCTGATAATTTATTTAGTTTTCCTRGGAGAGGCTCTAACATTTTTGTTTGCTATTTTGAAATTGGAACTCCTCCACAGAGGCCRAGGAGTGGGACTAGGAAGGATCCAAACTAGTTATCATTAACAAATGTTGAAGTCTGCCTGATGGGTATTGAGATGGAGTTGTATTTAAGAAAGTTTAAAAAAGGGAGGACAAGGTGGAGATGTCAGGCAGGAAAAAGGGAGAGATAACACTGCATTCATTTACCTAAAGGTGCTTGAATTCCTTGGCAAAAAGAGAACTTCTTCCCCAGAGGGCAGAAGGCAGAAGTGCTCGTCCAGTTCAGAAAGGTTTGGTGCTCACTTGAACTCTCAGTTCACTTTGAATTGAACTCCTTTGGATTTATCACTGAAGCCAGAGATGCCATAAGTAATGAAGGCAGTTCATACTGTATTTTCATAGCTACTTGGTCATTTGTAAGGCAGCAGAACAAAGAAAGGGAGAAATGGAAAGCTGAAAGTCAGTTTGAACTTATGTGTTTTATTCAGATCAAGACTGGACCTCACCCGTTGCTTAAATCTTTGCTGAATTATTGATTTGACTCCCTGCAGCTGAAGAAAGAGTCTGCTGCCAGAACAAAAAAAAATCAACAAAAAACATGTATATGGTTGTTTGTATAAGATTAAAATGTGTAGAAAATAGAAGGAACAAAAGGAAGAAAAAAGGAGAAATATCCATTTGAACAAATACCACTGTCCTCATTACTTTTTCTCATCTTTACTTTTTAAGAGGTGGTGGGAAGACACTGTCCAAGTTTTGTCTCATCTAAAAACTAAATCTGTAGGTTTTCAAATTATTTTAGGAGAGCACTGGAGGTTAGCACTGGGGACACTATGGTCCATTATTATCAAAAAGCATAAGGTGATGCTAAATCTAGAACCAAACTTTATGGTTTGGGCTCATCTTTTCTAAATTCTGAGTGTCTGAGCTGTTCTATAATTGAAATATGAAGTCAAATTCAACAAACAGCAATATTGTGGATCAAAACTCTTATTAGAGCTGTGAGATCAAAGGGGAGAGAAAAAGGAAGAGGGAAAATAAGGGATGAAATCATTTCAGAGTTATGGATGCCATGACTCTTTGAACTCATCTAGGCTTTAGCCAGTGGTTGCAACATTTTTTTTTTAATAGCTCAGCAAGAATTGCAGATCCCTGTTAGCCTTAGCAAGCCGAGGCCAAGATTACAGCATGGATCAGGAGAGCTGGAGAGAGAAGGAAATGGAGGGTGACAGTTTAAGGGCTGGGGTCCAAGCAGTCCCTACAATCATGGCCACGTCTGCTCTGCCTCAGGGCAGGCCATGATGCTGAGGGATCCAGGAGTCTTGGCACAGAATGAAATGCAAATGTAGCAGCCAAGCAAGAGCAGGGATACAGCTCTAAAAGCTGCCAGTGYAGCAGCATCTGGGCTGAAGGGAGAGACATGCACACAAAGTGCCACAAAAGCAATATTTCACTRCATCAGAGGAATAATTAGGAACCTAAATCTACCTACTTAAAAATGCCTGATCATCCCTGAGAGAGRAACAGAAGGTTATTCTCCCATCAAATAAAAGTTGCTGCATTTTTGTACGCTATCTTTGAGCAATCATCCCTGTTTTGTGGCTCTTTCCAGGACTCCACCTCCTCAGTAAAGGTCTGAGGGAGGGCTGTGGTCATTCAGAGTCCTGTCAGCACTCACAACTCAACAATCAGGATTTCTGCAGCATTGGCATTCGAGTTCTGCTCTTGCTGCTGTTGTGCTAAAAGGCAGCACAGCCAAGGCTGGCCAAGGCACTGCTTTTAGCCTGGTCAGCTTTTTTAACCCCCTGCTCCCTGCTAAGGCTGAGCTGGGTGTCCCTCACCACCCATCCCTGCAGGCAGGGAGGAATGACACCGATAATCATGGATGGGAAAGGGTCACCAGCAGCTCCACTGTGCACACAAAACCCCTGGACACAAATGTGTTCTCACACCTTCWCTGCCAAACTCCTCCTGCCTTGGCTGTCCTCCCCAGCCCAGCCACTCGCTGTGTGACACGGATTTTTGTACTCCACCCAATTATCCAGTGCTCCTTCCATGTAAAATGAAAATCTTCCCCACTCCCATTATGCCAGAACTGCCATGTTTCTGAATTATCCTGCTCCTGATGGGTCCTTCCCACACTTACCATAACAGGAAAGGAGAGATAGGACAGGAGGAATTCCTACATCAAAGCAAGTTGGGATTGCAGATGTTTGACTTCCCAGATACGGGAGATTTTAATGCTGGGTGTCCTAAAACAAGAAATTTTAATCTGGGTCTCAGATTAATTTGGATTTAACAAGGCTGATAAATACAGCTTAACCTGAGACACAAAAACTAAAAAAAACTAGCTATTAGATTTTTAATGAAATCAACAAAGAAAAAAAAAATCTGGCTTCTTGTGTTTGAAAGAACTCAGCTCTCGTGTCTTACTAGTACAAAAGAAAAAAATAAAAAGGTAAGTACTCTAACAAATAATGGTTTGAAAAGGCATTGGAGAAGTAGATCTTTATGATGCAAAATCATACCCATGTGTGAAAACAATCCATCCTCTTCAAGACTTTTCTTATCCAAATGAACATCTGAGAACATGAAGGAGRACTTTTCCCATGAGGAAGTGAAATTCCTAACAATCTATCGCCTGTCCACTCTCTTTTCCGAGAACCTTTGTAATCCATGCCTCTCTGCTCTTTCTGTGAGGCAGCTCCCACTGGAGCTTCCCCCAAAGGGTTTCCACACAAGGCACAGCATTTCCCATAAGGATTTATGGGAGCTATCAAGCCTCCATGTTTCAGATGCTCAAATCCAAATTACTTTTCTGGTTTTTAATTACAAGCCAACTAAACTTCGGCAAAGAAGCCTCTATTAAAGCCTTCCCTCATTTCCCAGCTCCCATATTCTCCTTTATTTTGTCCCTGCAGCTGTTTGTGACCCCATGTGCATGAATGGGGGGAAATGTGTCCACCCAAATGTCTGTGACTGCCCATCTGGCTGGAGGGGAAAGCACTGCAACAAACGTGAGCACCTCTACTCCCATCAAACTCATTATATTAATTAGTCCAGATTATATTAATTAGTCCACTAGACATCAGTAACATTAAAAACCAACATAGAATCTGTTTTGCTACTTCACCAGTTTGAAGAAATGCAGTTTTAAGTACAGGTAGCACAAAATGCTATAAACACTTGATGCTTGCAAAGGAGAAAAAGCTGTGCAGGGGAATCCTGGTTCTGCTTCATGCAGCTCTCTTATACATCTTGTTATGGAAATTCATATTTGTAATATTAAAACTGGAAGCATTGATTTTACGTTTTAACAGCTTCACATATTTTGTTAGATTTCGCAGAGAAATGTCATATATTTCAAAGTACAGACCTATCTAAAGCCTGCTATAAAACTTTCCAAACTGATGTACTCTCAAGGTCATCAGTGCATAATTTGTAGAATGACGTGTTCTTACTCTGTAACTCTGACTACAGTTACATAAAAATGTAATTAGAAAAAAACCTCTCACCCTAAAATTTTTTCAAGGAATATTTTTTCCTTACATAGCTATTCATTACCATGAAGTTGACAGATAAACTGAATAAATTTATAATCAAGATGACATACTGTATGTAAACCAGATTAAAATATTGGCTTTTTACCCTTTGGGTCCTGCTAGTAAATATGATTTCAGAACCAGTGGTTTGAATTTATAATAATAATAATTTATTCAGAAATGCTGAAGGAAGGAAGTGTCTTCCATACATATACACCAGATCATGCTCCCACTCTTTCGGGATCTCTGAAGAAATAATAAATGCAATAAACATATCAAACTTTACTATGAATATATTTGTTTTTTATGTGGAACATGTAGTAGGTATATAGCATACATGGATGTATCATAGGGAGATTATTCTTAGCTGACGATGAGCTAAGCATTAGAAATGTCAAGTCTCCCGGTAGACAGTAATCAAAGATAAATTTCTCAAGAAGAAAATATCAAAGAATCCTTTCATACTGATTATGTGGCGAGCAGAACTCATCCATTCCTTTGGAAGTCAGCCATATGGAATAAAGCCTAGCAGGTCACCTCTCAGACAGCTCTTGAACACTCAGATACATCACGTACATCTTCTCACTTGTTTCGTGTCAACCTGTTCAGCTGTTTGCCTGCAGAAATGTCTCAATGGAGGGGAGTGTGTGGGTCCCAACATCTGCGAGTGCCCCAGAGGATGAGGGGGATTTCTGTGCCAGACCCGTAAGTGCTCCCTTCATTACTGCAGCTCCGTAACCACCGCACGTTTTTACACATTAAATTTTCTGCTGTGTGGATATTGGGGTAGATTTATGCTTGGACTCAGTCATCTTAAAGGTTTTTTCCAACCCAAAGGATTCCATGATTCTGTTACGTGTAAAAGTCAACCATAACATGAGATTCTGCCTCTTATTTATCAGAACTGTCCTATGCTGCCAGTAAAACTGTTACTTTCAAAGACATTTCTAGACTCAACATGAGAAAGAGGCCTGACTCATCGTTTTCTTTCGTGGATGCTGAGATCAACCTGTCAGACAAAATAAGATCTTTTTTAATGAAATAATTTAAAATACAAGGTGAAAAAAGAGGGGCCAGGGAGAAAATGAAATGGAGTACCCATTCCACATACCCAGGCGGCACTAAGCATAGAAAAATTCTGTGTGTCTGCCAACCTTAGAGCCTGACCCTGTAAATTATTTTTGTTCAGACTGGCCACCAAGGTGGATGGAAGTATTTGAATGTGGGGGGATTGGAAGACCTGGAATAGGAAGAKATGATTATTGCCAATTACACACAGGGTCACTTCAGTTTGTGTCTGCTATTAGCTTTACAGCAAAAGGGTATGAGGGAAATAYCAAGGCATTATCCCCTTTAAAGGGCATTATCTCCTTTACCTTCCTTTCCCCTCACACTCACAGAGCATAATTACTTATGGAAATCTTCTGTCAGCTAAATCCCAATGGCTGTGTAATTGTTTCTTTGTGCCAGCTGTCTGCTAGTTCAAACATGGGAGTGTTTAAAGTTATTGATGGCATATTCTTGACTCAGTTTATAAAAYAAATAAACAAATCGTGCTTGCTCCTGTGAAAGGCAAGTCAGACTAACATCAACAATTTCTGCTGTCCTATGCAGGCACACAAGCCCAGCTAAATTTTTATAGATTTATCTAAACTTTGAAACTTTGCTCCAAATCCCTTCATTTCCTAGTCATTCTAGTTTTACTATTTTTTCCCACAGTACGAGGTTAAATCCTTTTTTTTTTTTTTTTTTTTTTTTTTTCTGTCCAAAAGGATCTGACTGAAACTCCCAGGTCCCACAGCAGCCCCAAATTTCTGTTTTTTTAAAGAGAAAGAGAGAAGACTATTGTCAGAGAGCAGATGGTGAGGTCTTGCAATGCTGCTCCAGGGTATTCACAGCGAGGCAGGGGTGAAGCAGGGGAACAGCAAAGCCTTCATCCTCACAGATGTTGGGTATAAAGTTTTGCATAGAAGCGTAACCCTGAAAGTAAGTCGTGTTTCATCTTTTAATGGGAGGCTATTCCCTAAACCCCACAACTCTACGAAACAAATGTATTTATCTGTCTAAATATGAAAAGCTCCTGAGTGTTTGCCTTACTCCACTGCCCTGTGCAAAACTGCTTTGTCACATTTAAACTCCCTGAGATCAGCACCCCTGTCTTGCTCGGATGTGTATTCCCAAATTCTGTGCTCCACTGTAGTTTCAACAAGGCTGAATTCAACCTAGATTTGTACCACTTTAACTACAGACTTTGATTATTGACCTCAACAACAGAGCAAAATATTCACATTGTAAGATATAAAAGCAGTAGTCATTTTCATTATATCAAAATATTATTTCATATTTATATTTATTCTATGACATTACACTAAATAATAACTATTGCTTTTTATCCTATGTTTTAATATATTAATTCATATTATATACTAATTCTATATTTTTATATGATTAATSTCAATAGTTTCCATTTCATAATGCAATTATCCCATCTCACTCTACAAGTAACAATTCAGAGGACAGGTTTTTTCAACAATCACTATGTCTTCTCTGTAATCCAAAATCTATTAGGGCTGGGCTGTTTCTTGGGGGCTTTTTCAAAGTTAGGAGAAAATTTGATAATCCCAACTTCATTCTTTGTTTTCAGCCTGTGAATTCACTCGACTGCCCTTGTTGGGATGGTGGTGATGGAAATGCAGATACAGGTTTCAGCTACACCCTGAGCCTCATTTTTTCCTCATTCAGGAGGGTGACTAAACCACAGGATACACAGAGACCTCCATTTCCATTTTCTGGACRTTTCTTAGATGGAATAAATTGTTTCAGTCCTCTACACTGAGATAACCAGAGTAGGCCCTTAAGCCAACGAGAGGGACAATGGACCAATACTAATAATTCATCTTGGACATTTGCTTTTTGATTTCTCTTTAATAAGAAGTCACAGATCACCTCYATCAGTGCAGTTTCTACCTCACAAAGGCCTGAGCCTCCAAGGACAGTCCAAGAAGATGTTTGGAGACAGCATCTGCCACAATAATTCCTCTCTAAACATTTTTCTTTCTTCAGGCTTCCAAACCAGAAAGGCAAAACACCCTCTACTTTTAGGTCTCTAACAATTTAAATATTTACAGCTGCAAATACTCATGTCTCAGGTTTTCTTGTCACCTTTCACCAGKAACAAAGGACATATCACAAGTGATWACYCAAAATTCTTCAACCTTCCAGCAGACAAACCCATTGACAGTATCCTAGAACAGATTTTTCCATTCTACTGCAATGAAGATTGGCAATGYCTAAGTCAGAATGATTTTATTTCTTGCATATTTTGGAAATGACTGAGAGAGCTAGAATGGGCTGCAGTACCAGAGGTGCCCAGTGTATGTTAGGGAGTTTATATCTAATTTGGAACAGCTCTGCTACATTTTGGAGCTGCAATCATACAAGCAAAAGCTCTGCCTCTTTTGCAGTGATGCACAAAGAAATTGYATGTCCATGTCAAGCAGTGAATTATGATTTCTTCACGCTACAATCAGTCAAACTCACAATGACATTCCACAGACATCTGTGCAGGAAAGTTTATTTACAGTTCCACTGGTCTCTGGCTGCACCTCAAGAACTTGGCAAGAGCAAAAGGRGCTTTCAGTAGACATTGATAATGGATAAAACACAATAGTCCTCCTTTATCAGACTGTAAATAAAGAGGTCAGTCAAAAGAGTAGTTTTCTTCCCCACTCATCTGTAACTGAACAGAATGGCTTCTGAAAGAGAATCGATAAAATAGGTCATTTGTCCCAACAAATAAGGTGTATGGTGGAATACACACGTTACCCTTGATAAATACCTATGACTTTGAGGGGCAYAGTTTAAGGAATAATGGGCAATTTTCAGACTCTACTGCAAATGTAGGGAAATAATTTTTTGGAAGAGCAGGTTAAAAAAAGTAATTTGAAATATTCAACGTGTCTCAGCTATAGAAAACAGCAGCTTTACAGATGAAGGCTCTTCCATTA